AAAAATCATGTGGCTTCTACCTTGCATAAGGTGTATGCCACCAAAATTTTGGCTCATTTGAACCAGTAGAAAAAAAGATAAAAATCTTCAAAGTTTATAATCCCCACCTATACCCCTCCTATCCCCACCAAAACCCCTCGTACCCCCCCCTCCCACCCCAAATAGCACCCTATCACCAAATGCTCAGAAAATTCTGAATTTTTTTTACGGGGGATCTCTATGGCATGTGCAACACTTTCATTTTTTTTTATTTTTTTTTCAATGTCAAAAAGTGGTTGTCCGAGATCCCGGACGACCCCCCTACCGGACGGTTGGGGGAGATGTCCGCCCGAGACGACCATCGGACGACTGGTAACCTAGTTTCAAGCACAAAAAGCAAAACCTATGAAAATCACATCCCTGCAATGGCAGATTGCCCACCGTTGTTTGCCAACCAACGACTGGCTGACTGACCGTACTAATTTAGAATAAAAAGGTCTGCTCCTTCCGTGGTGCCACCGGTGCCAAAGCCTTTTCCCGTTCAACAAGAAGGCTTAAACCATCGAACACATCTTCATGCAATGCCCGACCGCCCAATTTATACTGAGATGATGGGATCGCACATGGAGAAAGATGGAATCTGCAATCCCTTGACCCTGGTCCTGGCAATCCATATTGGCTGGTCATTGGCCACAGGCACAAGCAGCCACGACCTTCGTAGAGGATATGTACAAACTTGGAAGGAGAGCAGTGATATGGGCACTTTGGTGGCAGAAATGCACACTGACCATGGAAAACGTGAGAGTAGAAGAGCCAGAAATCACCGAACAGATTCAGCAGCAGGTACACTTTGAACTCACACAAAGATGGTTAGACACAAAAGCACAATTAGTCCTCTTTAAACAAGTAGGAGATGTCAGGAGACGAATCACAACATTTTGCACAGACTGGGTGGGAGGGGAGAGAGAACTTTGGATTGCAAGAGTAGGATGGAGCAGAGACAGAGGAGAGGGACATAGGGATTTGGAAGAGATGAGAAACTACCGCTTAGGCTTCAAAGACTGGACAAGCATTAAACCCTCATTTCCACTTCGCCCCCCCTCAGATTTTCCAGACCCTTTCCCACCCCATGCCCTGTCCCTGGTAGAAATCCTGTCCTGAATGATGAAACCCTGTAGCCCTGTCCTCTACACGCTCATAATCATACAAGGAACTCCTCCCTGGAACCCCCCAGGAGGCTGTTCTTCTGCTAATATCCATGTTTTTTCCTTCTTTTCGCTGCTCAGTTAACCCTCCCTTCTACGGATCGGGGCAGTCGATGCTGGCAGTCTGAGCACTCTAAGCAAGAGAGTATGGGAGGTCGGCAGGGGGGGGGCAGGAACTAGTGTGTAGCAGCAGGTATCTGGCGCCGGTTGCAGGGTCAAGAGGTTCCTCCTTCCTTCCAGTATCCTGTTCAGTCAATCCCCTGGATCCGGTAATCAATGCTGTCAGGAACCCCCCCACACAACTGTTTTTTCTGATGTATTCCAAATTCAATCTGTAAAAGGGACGCTGGACCCGTTTTCCAGCAGGTGATGCTCCCCACCAATAGATGGAGCCTCTCCCCAGGTGCTAGTGGTGTCTGCTCTCATCAGCACC